GCGTAATGGCCAATGAGGTTGCAGCTTGAAGATGCGGCTATGCGTGAGCATATGCTAATGAGTTCAAGTACGCGCCAAGAAAAAGATGGGTTTAAATACACACGATACGCACTTAAGTAAAGGTTAAATGGTCGAGTTGTGTGTGTGTGTGTGTGTGTGTGTGTGTGTGTGTGTGTGTTTATGGTGTTACAGTGAGTTTTATATATAATTAAAAAAAAAATTGTAACGGTATTCATCGCAGGACGTGACACTAGCATAGCGAACAAAATCAAGAATCAATTTATTAAAATAACTTTCGGTAATAAATGGTTTCTTCCACGTGTGCAAGATTGAAATTGCGAATTCTTATTAAAAAGTTTCTATTTTACTCATCTTAATGATACATAATTAATGATAAAATAGACGTTTCGGTCTGTCATCAGACCATTCTCAATATAAAACCAATAATTCATAAACGAAACCTATAGTAGTACTTTAATACATATTCTAACTGTCTTATAACATATATACGCTTTTTTCGGTGTTACAATTATAAAAATTATTTTATTTTATTCATTTTTAATAAGTGATGATTTTCAGTGATGGGTGGTTGAACATATTTTCCCGCAAATTTTAATATTATATTAAAGAAGTAATAAAAATAGTAATTACAATTGACATGTTACTCAAATTATTACTAAACAATTAATCCTATAATAGGTGAATCGTCAAATTCTGTCATTATTATAATGTTTGCGATTACGTGTGTTATACGATAGAATTTCCTCGTGACTGAGATGACAGCATTCTTTTCTTTAAACAAATTCGATATTATCCGCACGTGCATCGCTGATCTACAATCCCAGATGTCAATAATTGAAGGAAAGAACTTTTTAATAAGAATTCGCAATTTCAATCTTGCGCACGTGGAAGAAGCCATTTATTACCGAAAGTTATTTTGTAAATCGATCCACGGTTTATTATTTATTAATCAATTTATTAAATATAATAAGTGTTGCCGGCGGCGGGAGCCTTCTATCTGGTTCCCCCGTTAACGACAATTAAGACGATTTATTTATGCGCCGGGTTCGCTCGGACGCTTTGACGGAGCCCACTCGACCCGTCGCTCTCCAGATTCGTACTGACTTTTGTCGCGCGAACTCGAACGGCTCGC